GACTTTCGAAAAGTGCACCAGAAGAATAAGGTGAGTTCCTTTAAAGACTCTTTATGGGAGTGAAAATAATAATTATATAAATAGTGTAAATATAAGGTGAATGTTAAGAATTCAAGGAAATGATACTATAAAATGTTTAAATGAGATTTTGGTAAAGGAGGAAGAAAAATAATAAAATGAAAGGTGCATTTTCTTTTCCTCAAGACTAGAAGGATGCTATGTATTCTAAAGACCGCATGTAGAATATATTTAATCATTTCAAATGAATAAATATATTCTAAAGGTAGTTGCTAACACCTGGGCGGTTAGGTACCTGAGGGAGAGCAACGACCCACTATTGAGTGCAACCTTGGTGGCAATAAAACACTTAAGGATAGAGAGGTCGGTAAGAACACCAAAGGACCGTCAACAATCTTACATGGGATGTTTAAATAGGATTGGGGGGAACATTAACACCTTCGAGAAAGAGGAAACGGAGGTATACATGCCAGAGTACGGCCTGGGGGCATGGGGGCATGGTCCTCCCTTATGATAGGAAAATTCAGCCAATCAGAGAAAACTACGAAAAGAGAAGGGGATGATAGACAGGTGGGAAAGAGACACTTGAGGCTGGGAGAGCGACAAGGACGGAGACTTGGAGGAAGACAGGCGAAGGGAGCACATGGACGAGACTTGAGGAAGAGATGCTGAGGGAGCAGCATGGAAGGAGAGTTGAGGAGGAAAGGCTGAGAGGACAAGATCGACGGAGAGTCCACAGAGGCAGCTGGGAGTGAAGCTAGGAGAGTCCAGGGAGGCAGCCAGGAGAAGAGAGACAGACAGCTCGAGATGCCGGCGACACCCCTTACCATGAAGAAACAGCTAAGTAGAAACATCCATTTAGTTATACAGATGTAAACTTGTGTTGGCAATCATTAATCAATAATAGAATCAATAAATCATAAGTAACTTCAATCAGGCATATCCAAAAATAGCATTCTCTTCTAGTATGATTCTCTACTACTCATTGTCTATATATGTTTTGGTTATTATTTTGTGTATATATGTTTTTGGTTATTTAAGTTTATAAATATATTAATTATTATTCCATCTTAGTAATTTTACAATCTACCTTGCATGGCACCAATTAGTTATAGAAACAAATAGTAAATTTTTAAACACGATACCTTTCGAAAAGAAATTCAATAAGAAGTATATTAATCAATCTAGGATACTACAGTTGGGGGTCTGTGGTATCCAACCTTTAAATACATAATTCATATATTTTTCAGTTGATCGGTCCCCTTTTTGGAACCGATATAAATACAAATATAAGTATTAAATACATTAAATAGAAATAAATGCGGTTCCTGGAACCCTTTACTCGCCGTAGAAACGCAAAGTCCAGGTACATAGCTTATTTAATGTTAAAAGAAGAGGTATAAGATACTTACTAAGAGGCATTGGCTATTAAAACCACCATTAGTCGTCACTCAACTAAATCAGATGTTGACAAATCTACGAGTAGGGTCATGGGAGATGTTTTTTTCGCATTCACGGTTGCCAGAGATTAGTATTCCATCGTTTTCCAGAGATATCGCGAGCTGGCAAGATTTCAAGGAAACGTATAAATCATTAGTGCACGAGAGGGTTGATTTGGATAACATCCAAAAATTTCATTACCTAAAATCGGCGTTAAGGTGTTCGGCGTTGCAGGTTATTTCCGCGATATCTATATCCCCTTTAGGGTATAACCAAGCATGGACGCATTCTACAAAGGTATGACAGTGAGATGATTCAAGACACGTTTTACCTTACTAGAATTTTAAATTTCGAACCGCTTAGGGGGGTGACCTCGCTAATTTGGGAACTTTCTCGTCGGTCGTATTGGAAAGTGCGTCGGCACTTTTCAAGCTGGGTATAGATGATCTTCCTGGTTTCGTATTAAGCACTTTGGCACTTAGGTCGTTGGATGCCAAAACCAGGGAAGGCTTCGAGAGGAAATGCGGCTCCAAAACTAATCTTCCGTCATGGGGTGAATTCGCGGACTTCGTTCAGAGACACACCGTAAAATTGCAATCGGCCCTTCTCGTTAATACGTTATCCGAATCAGTGCACCCCGAGTCCGAGTTTGGGGGACCATCGAGGAAGGTTATTATGGCCACCAATTCGTTACGGAGCTCCATGAAATGCCCCATATGTAAAGATCCTCACCGTGTACATGATGGTTCGAGGTTCAAAAAGCTTTCACCGCAACAGCGATGCGACCGTATGAAGGGTCTTAGGCGTTGCATCAATTGTTTGTCTTCAGGACATTTCGTGAATAAGTGTACCTTTCGCGTATCTTGCCGCCTTTGTGATAAAAGGTACCACTCCCTACTACACTTTTTCTCTCTGAAATCTCGGCAAACTGAATCTCGCAGTTTGAAATCCACACCACGTCGTTATGGTGTTATAAGTTCGAAAAGTGCACTTACCCCGATTCCATCATCTTCCGCCCCTCGTTCTTCGGTCCCACCATCGAAACGCTCCTACTCCTGCTCCTCTAGAAATATCATATTGTTCCAAAAATTCAAAAATCGCTCATCCCACCTCGTACCACCACCGTTCTCCATAGTGCAATAGCCCCGCATATTCACCACGAGAGCTCCGTGTCACCTACCTCTCCACCTGGAAGAAGGTTCATCCCGCACAACGATGTTTTGAGGGTGTCCAAAATGCATCGCGTTCCATTCGTTACGAAGCCAACCACGGAAAACGTTGGATGACCATCCTCTCACCGGTCATAATTCGCATTATGACCAAAAGTCGGCTCCATCGTTCAGTCCTTTTATCGATCCTCTTGGTGTGGCCAGGGTGGGCGGCGGATTGCGTTGTGATTTCTTAAATGGTCGACCCCTCACCGGTCATATATCGCTATATGATCTAAAATCGTTCCCACCGTTTAATTCGTTTCGCTTACCCGTCGGTTTGCTCAGTGTGGGCGGCTGGTTATGTAGCATTCCATACTTACCGATAAAATCCTGTGTCTTTAATTCGTTCGTGAATAACTCTCACCTTATTCTCCCTCACTCCGTTCCATAGCTGTTGCACTCATCGTTCCGTATTCTCGTATGCCTCACCTCACCTGAGTTTTAGTTACTAGTCCGTAACTTCAGGCGATCAGTTAGCGACAGAAGTGTCTCGTTTCGAATCTCCACCTCACTTCTCCATCCAATATACTCCGATCCTTCCGATTATTGAGTTTACCCCGTGACACTTTCTGTTCGCAACACCGCAACACCTTTCCCTGCTATCTACTCAACCTCCTAAATGAGATCTCTAAAAATTTCATGAAACGCCACTCATATTTATACACTCATATTTTGTTTTTTTCATTGCTATTTTTTTCTCACAGTTTTACCCTTTTAAATGTTAATAAATAAGTGTTTATTATTTTTTTTTTTAAACTGAGGGACAATTGTCCAAAAATTATACATTGTTTATACATTTAGCTTCATTTGCGATGTATTATCTCGTTCATGTATACGCTCCATCCCGGCAGGCTATAAAACTGCTGGGATGCGGTCTAAAGTCAGTCTGGAGCTAGCCTTTGTTGACATTAGATCCATGTAGTGGACATCTACCCCCACCAGTCCATACTCACCTCACATCACCTGGCAACAGCCTAGCGTTATTTTCAAAGAACAGCTGTTGGGCGCATCGGCAGTCGTCGATCGAGATCGATAGGCTATCGATCCGATATTTCCTCACCAACGACTGTGTGACATCGAAAAGGTAACCTCGTTGGAAGCAGAACCTCCATCTTGGCTCGTTTTTTATTATCGCCGTTACCACAGACATATATAATTTGGAAAAATATTTTTTCTGCGCTAATTTATTTTTATTGGATGATTTTCTTTAATTTCAGAAGTTTGTATTTTTGTTTATATTTTTGATGGACAATTTTTGTATATTTCACTGCATATTGTATTTTATGTTTCATTTTATTTTAGTGCATTTTGATAATCTTTTTCATTGTTTATTTGTTAAATATAAAATATTAAATATAAATATTGTGAACATTTCAAAAGGGGGATTTTTTTAAATTTTCCATTATCGATTTATTGGATATTTCTATTTTTTAATATTTTCTTGTATATGCATTTTTTTCTTCTTTTACAAGTCTCATATTCACTCATTTTTTCCCTTCTTTCTCACTCATTCATTTTGCTCGAATTTTTCCCACCCTTGAGGAAACTCACCGGGGAAAGATTTGTATTTTCAATTTTGAAATACCCCTGGCCCCAACAATATGTATATATATATATATTACAACTTCCTTATTTATCATTAATATATTTCATTTTCGTTCTCTTTAATCTTATTTATATATTCGTATATAATTAAGATAAAGAGAACGAGAAGATAAAGAGAATATTCGTATAAGATTAAAGAGAACGAAAATGAAATACATTAATGATAAATAAGGAAGTTGTCAGCAAAAAGGAGAAAGGAGGAGATTGGAAAAAAAGTTTTTTTTTGTCTGTTTTTAGTTTCACTGTCTTAGGTTGGAGTTGGATGTGGAGGGTTTCAGGGATGAGTCGTTTGTCATGGTTAGAGACGGAGGCAAGGATAGAAGTTTTGTCGAAATCAAATGTATGGTTTAGGGAGAGAGAATGTTTGGATAATTCGAAGGCGGTAAAATTACGAGAGGATACAGAATATTTATTTTAGGTGATGCGGTATTTTAGAAGATTTTTGGTTTCACCAATATAGGATGAAAAACAATTAGGGGTAGAACACAGAATACGGTAAACGATATGAGAGCAGTGTGAAAGAAGATCTATATTTCATCTGAGGATCTGTTTATTTAAAAAGAGGATCTGTTTATCTATATTTCATTACATTTATATCCTAAAATACTTCATACTTTTATGCCCTACATGTTGTTAAGGCATATCTACTAGGTTCCAATTATGATATAGTAGTTATAGAAATTGTATTGCTTTACTTTTTAATTGTATTTCCTTTTATTGTTTTAAGGAAGCGATTCAAAAGAAAGTAGACCTTGGGATATGATTAAGGATTCAACTTTAATTAGAGATGCTACCCTTTCATACGAAGTTCACATGGTATGTCCTTATACTATTCCTTTTAGTTGACAGCGAAAAGGAAAAAGGAGATTGTTATGGATTTTTTATAAATTTTAATAATTTCTTTAAAATTTAATAAATTTTAATAAATATTCTTTGATTTAGAAATACATAACTTACATACAATTCTGATGATTATTTATTTCCAAGATTCACAAAATCATTTATCTGATATTAGGTTTTTTGTATTTTGAGAATAAATATCTATTAACTACCTCCTTTTTTGTAATGTTTTTTTTTTTTAAATTACACTCTGAGGTACTGTTATTGTACAGAATAAAATTATGTTTCTTTTATCTGTTATTGTAATACCTAAACTACTCATGATACAGAGGTATATCATAAAGAAGGTATATATGATATATATACAGAGGTATATATGATAAAGAGGTATATCCTTTTTTATGTTTATATATCTCAATAAGCCTCCGCCATTCAGCTCTATCTTGTGCTGCTACCTTCCAGTTGATGATATCTAGGAGGTTTCTTACATCCGCTTCCACTCCGTCAGCTCACCTTAACCTTGTTCTTCCAACTCTTCGGGTCCTATGAAGAACCTCTTCAGATACCTTTATCGATATTTCCTCTTCACTCATCCTAGCCATGTGACTAGCCCTAGTGAGTCTCCCAAGCTTCTTCATAATCCTCCAACTCTTGGTTTCTCACAATAGACCAATAATAATAAAATAATTAGGTCCTTTTTATCACTTTTGGAAATGGTCCATGTTTGTGAGGCATAAGTAAGAACAAAGCTGATTAAGGTCTTATAAGGAGTAAGCTTGGTTTGCCTGCTCAAGAATCTGCTTCGAAAGGTCTTCAGTAGTCCAAAATAGAGAATATTTTCTTTATTTCCTCTGACATATCATTCGAAGCTGTTAAATGGGGTGCAAGGTTAGTGAACTCCGTTACCCTTCAAAAGTATAATACCCAATAACCAACTTCGGATCTCCTTCTCATCCTGTGTATAAATACTCACTTTGGGCTTTATTTGCAACATGACCAATGTTTGAAGCTGCCCTCAAAAGATTATGGTATGTTTCTAGCTTTGATCGAGACGTTGCAACTATACCAATTTACAATTTGCAAATCTAGACCATCTGGGTAACCAAGTATCTGCACCATTTGGGAGAAAGTCGTGGCTCGCATCTGAAGTCTCTTACCACTTTTACACTCAAGCCAAGCCATTTCCTTGTAACCCTTTGGCAGAAGTGAATTCAGATTGTATTCGGACTTGACATCTCACCTCCCTCATTGTTAGCTTCATGAGGTGAATCAACTTATTGGGAGCATTTATCTCTGACAGTTCCTCATACAGATTTGATCGTTTTATGCTATCAGAAGCATTTTTGAAATCAATGAATAAGTGGTGGGTTGCAGCTTATACTCATTTCCAAAATGGTCCTTAGCATACATACTTGCTCGATTGTCAGAATACTTGAATTGAAGAATACTTGCCCTTCCGAAAACCAGTCTGATATCTCTTAATCTGTAGCTCAGCAATTGGGGATCGCCGGTTGAAGAGGATGTTGGAAAGAAACATTGTATGTACATGATAAGAGTGTGATCCCCCGATATTTCCTGCATTCCAATTGATCTTCTTTCTTATGCAAAAGGCATATGACTGCATTGCTCCATTATCTTGGTGTTTTCTCTTATATCCAAATAGACAGGATCATGTCACATAATGACCTATGGAGTTCCTCACCTCCATACTTCAAAAATTCTGCTGGCAATCCATCTAATCTTGGGTCTTTGTTGTTTTTCATATTCAAGATTGCTTTCGCTACTTTTTCCAAGTCTGTATGTTCAATATCTCTATCATTGTCGTCAAAGGTTCTTTCATCTGGCTCCTCTGCTCCTTCATTCGAAAGGGATTTAAGGTGCCTGACCCATCGTTCCAGGATATCTTCTTTATCGGTAAGCAAGGATCCATTTTCATTTTCACAGGATTGAATTCTGGGTCTAAATGGAACTCTACCGCTATTAACCTTTCTTCTGCATTTCTTAAAACCCTATCTCCTCGAGCTCCTTCTTCTTCCAAGGTCTTTTCTTCTTCTCGAGGGTTCTCTTCTCCAATCGTCTTCTTTGCCTATACTGCTCTGTGGTATCTTGTGAAATGCTTGCTGACCATCCTCCAATACACTTCATTTTTAGGATCGTTCAATGTCTTACACTCCTCGCCCTAATTTACCCAGGACTTCATCAGCTGAAACGTCCCAAACATCCTGAATGCTTTCAGTATTAGTTGATCCAATGGTCTCTCTAACCTTTTCCTCTGCCCTCTCCTTGTAGGATTTACAAATGTCAGGGTCCTTCAACTTACCAATATTCCATTTCTTAGATGGAACATTTCTTCGGTTCCGCGTGTTTGAAATCTTAACTTCGATTCGGGTTATAACCAGGTGATGATCGGAGTCTACGTTAGCTTCTCTGAAAGTTGTAGTGCTAAAAAACAATTAATCTATGATGGATATTTATCAGGATGTGGTTGATCTGATTAAATGTAAGACCATCTGTCGATTTCCACGTGGCATTGTGTATTTGATACCCAGGAAAAAAGTGCTGTCAACAACCATGTTTCTTGATATGGCAAAATCAATTACTCTTTTTCTGTTGCTGTCTTCATGCTGTGGTCTATAATGGTAGGCTTATAAGCTTTCTCAGGTCCTATCTTAGCATTGAGTTGAGTGTAATTGTTTCTGTACCTCATCATGCAGATTTTTGGGAACAACTAGTCTATCGTCCTTGAATAGATTTCCACTGTCTAGGGTCTATTCTTTATCTCTTCCGCAATTACATTAGGTGTAAGAATTTCTGTCGATATTTCGAAAATGAATGAGGCACATATTTGATGGACCTCTTCATTAATGAATATATCCGAAGATTCCCTGATTTATGCTATGGCTGCTCTTGATAAACACTGTACGTTATTGTTCTCAGAAACTTTTTTAAACTTAACAGTGTAATCAAATCCAGCTAAGAAGGAAGCATATCGCAGTAAACGACTTTTAAAGTGAAAGTACTTTTTGGTAGTTTATTTCTGTGGTGAAAAATTCGGGTATAATGGCTGGTTGTCTGTAATGAGAATGAAATATCGCCCATATATATCTTAAAAAAAAAAATGACCAACAGCAAAAATGATAGCTATTGCCTCTCTGTCAAGTTGAGAATAATTCTGTACTTGATAATGAATGTGATGCAAAAGCTATAGGTTGGTCTTCTTCTTTGATGACCTGGGCAAGTACAGCTGCTATTCCTATAGGGCCGGTAGGGTAACTGGTAGGTCTGGGTCAAATGGAATGATCACACTGTCACTTGCTATCTCATTTTTTAGTTCAATAAATGCTGTTTTACATTCCGAAGACTAAAAATATTTTTTATCTTTCCCGAGTAACTGGTGAAGAGGGTAAGTCAAGGACGACAGATCTGGTAAGAAACAAGAATAATATGTAACCATATTCAAAAACCGTCAGAGCTCTGGTATTTGTTGGTCTGGGCATATCGATAACAGCTTATATTTTTAAAGAAAATTTTGAGATTTTATTTTGCTCAACTACATGACCAAGGTAATCTATTCTTGTTTGGAACAACGTACTTATTGTTATTCAGGTGTAGGCCATACTCTTTTATTCTCTGGACACAAGCAAGCAGGTTTATTTTACATTTCTCTTTTGGTTCGCTATGAATGATGGTATCGTCGAAATATGCTATGGTATTTTTCAATTTTTTTAATATCTGATCGATGACATGGTTGAACTCTGCAGGAGCCTTCTTGTTGCCGAAAATTAATCTATTCCTGCGGTAAGTTCCACAGGATGTTGTAATGGTTTAGATATTACTGAATTTTTCATATGTTTTCAGGTGTAAGTATACTTTAAACAAATCTAGCCGAAAACAATATCTTGAATTCTGAAGGCTATGTAGCAGCACCTCATCAATTTTTTTTTATTGAGTAATTTGTATTGACCAAGAGGTCATTTACCCCCACCTTGTAATCAACTCACAGTTTGACTGTCCAATCACTTTTGGGTATAACTACCAAGGGCGACCCCCAATCATTTGTTGGTGCTGTAGATATTATTCCTGTGGTTTCGAGTGAGTCTAATTCTGTTTCTACCTTTTCCTGCTGTGCGTACGGTATATTCTGTTTAGGAGTATAAGAAGATTTAGCATTATCTCGGAGTTGAAGTGTAATAAAATCTGGTACACATCCTACTTTTCCGACAACAATTTCAGGGAAAAGGTATTCAATATCCATTACTTTGTTAATGGTTGAGGTACTCTGATAAATATTAACTGTCTGTTCTTCCTTGTTTATATCTTGTAAGTTTATTTTCAAGTGTGTAACCACATTCGTGAGCAGGAAGGGATAACCATCAGGTATAAGGTAAAGATCTTCGTAAGATACATGGTCCTTATATTCCACCCTAACTCTGGCTTTTCCTAATGGTCTGAAAACGTTGTGTTTATAAGATTTAAAAGCAATATTTGATGGTTGAAGTGGCTTTTGGATTTTTAAATGTTTAAATTGAGTTTCAGGTATAAGTTTCTAATTAGCTCTAGATACCTGGGGCCTATTTCATAATCAAGCTAATATTATTAGTAAAAAGTACAAATGTACTAAACTAAAAAGTACAATTACTAATAATTTTTATTTTATGGATTGATAAGAAAAAAATACAAGTCATTCAGTAGCTAGGTTATTTTTAGAGAGGTTAGTTTTGAAAAGATTAATTTAAAAACATTTATTTTTTTTATTTTTTTTTTATTGAATAATAATACAATCAGCCACTGCTGGAGGGCTATAAGCATTAGGGCTAAAAGTTCTCATTCATACAATATATACAAATAATAAATAAATAAATATAAATATAAGAAGTAAATAAATAATACTGATGAAGAAGGTAAATAAATAAAAAAAAAATAAAAAAAATAAATAAATAAATAAAAAAAAAATAAAATAAAATAAAAACTTCTAA